AGGGAAAGAAGTGAAGATGCCTAAAGCACACCCAAGAACTGAATGCAGGACCGTGAGACTTGACTCCTGGCTCTTCACACTGCCCCACTGGAATATGAAGCAAGTCAGGCACCTCTCGAATCTGCAGCTTCTTTATCTAAGGGTACCCCTCATGTATCTAAAATTGCATACCTCAAATACTAGAAAGGCAATAAGAGCTTTACTGAAAACTTTACTCAAATTAGAAAACAAGCACTAAGAAATTAAAGATCAAAAGGCACAACACTGAGCAAAAGGAGTGAGAAATCACCAGAGATGCCGTGTCCTTATTCTGACAGTCGGTAGAGGGCAACAGTTCTGTACACCCAACACACACCGCCCCCTAGCGGCCTTGAAAAACCGCAGCGCTCCCACCATGACAGAAACCAACTACATGAAGCTATGCGGATGTAAGTCAAGTCAAGGGACATAACATACAAAGTCCTGAAAGTCAATCTGCGTGACACAAATGTCCACTTGACCCAACTGCACAAATAAAAACACGTACCGTTCATTATGCTCCTGATAAACAAGTCTGGACTTCTCCAGTAGGTATTTTTCAACATAGGCACTAGAAGAAAAATAAAATTGGTTGACAAAAATAATAAATTGAATAGAAGGTAGACAAATACATAAATATACAGGGCCAGCAGGTGGTGTGGTGAGTAAGAGCGCGGACTCCCACATGGCCAGCCACGGTTTGAGTCCTGGACCTCGTAGCTTGCTTTCTTGCTTTCCCTTTCTCTCTCTCTCTGTGTGTCTCTGTCTGAGTCAAATTAAAAAATAGTAAGAAGAAATGGAATTAAATAAATAAAGAATTGTTTATATACACACACACACACACACACACACACTTTCAAATATACTTTCATACCACTTTATTCCAAAGTGGAACAAAAGTATAAAAGGTACTATGTAGATCATGCCGCAGTAGTTACCACTGTAACTTTGTTATAAATGCTGTTGTTGTTATCATGTTAAATTCACAAAAATCATAGTCTTATTTTTTTCTTTCAATAAGAAACATTTCTACAGTCTTTCCAGGCTCATACACCCTGACACATTCTTCCAGACATTTTATTTTGGCCAGAATATTAAATAAGGCTCGGAGATATACTTAATTTCTTTATCTATTCATGCTATTTTCCACAGCCTGAAATAAATGTATAACTTACTGTTTTATTCAACAAGCATTCACTTAGTGAGCACTGCACTAAGCATGAGGGACATGGCATAAAGTGGCACACTACCTGTTCCCAAGGGGGTTACCGGGAACAGGCAAACTAGCAACCAGCACACTGAGCTGAGGAGTCTGCTATGGAGCAATGAGTGGCATTATGCATGTGGTGAGACGCGGGGGACTCAACTGAAGGAAAAAGCGTGGAAAAGGAAGCACTCCTGTGATGGTGAGTTCAGAGCACACGGTAGGCACTCAGTCAGCTATCTGGTGAGCAAGGGCTGCACAAATGGGCCTCAGATCAGGATTACACAGAAGGCAGTGAGGAGGCCTGCCTTGACACGAAGGCCTCAGGGAAGGCAGTCGTGCACACTGGCATCGGGGACGGCGGGGTGTGGCGACAGTGAGGCAGGCAAGTGGCTAGATCGAGGAGCGCTCACAGACCTGTAAGCATGGCCTGCACCCTGAGTGCTGCGGAGCTCGAGTGGAAGTTGTACTTCTGCGATTTCGTTCTCTTTATCCAGATTGCACCCTCAGGTTTTCAGCCCAACATCACCTCTTTCCCAGCAGGTGCAATCAGCTAAGGTGCCATTGCAAAGAGGGTTGTATAACTGGGCTGGCCCTGTAGCCTAATGGTTAAGGAGCCATATCCCACACGGCCAACTGTGGTCTGAATCCCAGGCCCAATGGCTGCAGAAGCACACTGCTGTGTTTGCGTGCCGAGTCCCAACATGACGGAGGAATGTTAGAGCAGGAACCGCAGCGCGACCATGCTCCACTAGGGGTGCTTTCTCCCTCCCTCTCCCTGGAAAGCACACATGCCCTGTGACGATGAATGAGTGAATAAACGAACAGATACAGCTTTAGACTACACTGAATACAAACTACTCAGTACAAACCTCCTCAAGGTGAAAAACTGACTCCGGAACGGTCCCAGCCCAGCCCCCGCCCATCGCCCATCGCCCATCGCCCATCGCCCATCGCATCCTTCAGTGGCTGCAGGCACCACCATCCCGCAAGGCACTCCTCACCACTGCTGGCCCCGCTTCCACTGGTGCTGCTCTCCTCTAGTCCCAGGCTCTGTAGATTTCATCTCTTCATCAAAATGCAAATTTTATACCTTCATTAACATGAAACTCAATTGTGCCTTCTTTGCAAATCCATTGCCACTACCACCACGAGTTAAAATTCACACTTCTCTGAATTACCATTTCCACTTTCCGTCCTCAAGTGCTGAAATGAACAGGCTTTCCTCTGTCTAAGCGAGGGAGGGAACCAGCGTGAACTGCCGCGCCCCACTCTCACAGCCAGCCTGCAGGCCGGTAGTGCCGCCCTTGTCTGGGTCCACCAGCCGACTAACTCGCAGACCTCTCTGCCCACCCCCATCCAGGGCCTGTACAGGGCTGTTTTCACCCAATAAAATGACATAACCCTTTCAGTCTCCTGTTTTCGCTCGTTCCACACACTGAAGCATACAGAGATAGAGGGATATTAAGCCTGTCTGGGATTTTTTTTTAAAATCCATCTGCACAGAAAAAGTAAAAAGGGACAGATAAAGCAAATGTGGCAAAATCTGGTCATTGTTGAATCTGAATGGGAGCTCCTTCAACTATTTACTCTTTACTTTTGTGTATATTTGACATTTTTTTTGGAGACTTTTTTTTTTTTTTTTGCTATAGGGCACCTGCACTAGGAGAGCAAGACAGAGACATAGAGACAGAAAGCGAGAAATCGCCCCAAAGGGGGGCATGGCCACGCCGCAATCCTTTCTCTTCCATTCTCCTTTCGGGATCTTGGGCACGCACGCACACGCGCCGGATGTTGCGTTTAATCCACCAGGCCCGGGACTCAAACCTCAGTCAACTACATATGGGAATCCAGCAACATAGTCATGATACCAACTGCTGGTCCCATATTTGACATTTTTTTAAAGAGGTTTTTGCTATAGGGCACGTGCAGTCACCAGAAAGACAGAGGGAGACAGAGAGACAGAAAGTAAAAAATCACCCCCGAGGGCAGATGGCCATGCGGCAATCCCTTTTCCGTTCTCCTCTCAGGATCTTGGGCACGCACGCACACGCATCCAGTGTGAATTTAAGCCACCAGGTCTGGAATCTGAACTGCAGTCGACTACGTAGGAACCCAGCGACACAGCCATTACACCATCTGCTGGTCCCACATAATTTTTTATTTTAAATCAGTTTCTTTTTTTTTTTTCAAGAGAAATTTTTGCTATAGGGTGTGTATGCTTGCCAGAGACACAGCAAGCAAAAAATCACCCCCCAGGAGGGATGGCCAGGCCACAATCCCTTCTCCTCCATTCTCCTCTCAGGATCTTGGGCACGCATGCACACATGCCCAGCTTGAAGTTCAAGGCACCAGTTCCAGGACTCGAACTATGGTCAGCCACATGGGAATCTAGCAATGTAACCATTACACCATTGCTGGTCCCTAAAAAATCAGTTTCCAAGTGTCAAGAGGATAATTACAAACACTGGGGTTTAATCACAATTTGACACCAAATAACCACCATGCCATCTATGCTCTGTAGCCACTGAATTTACATACTCTAGTACACCAAGATTTTGTCATAATTCCACTCATTGGCTAATGTTAATTCCTTTCCTTTTTTTTTTTGAGAAGTTTTTGGTATAGGGTGCGTGCGCTCACCAGAAAGACAGAGAGAGACAGAGAGACAGAAAGCAAGAAATCACCACCCGGGAGGATGGCCACACCGCAATCTCTTCTCCTCCATTCTCCTCTCGGGATCTTGGGCACGCACGCACACACATCCAGCATGAGTTTAAGCCACAGGGTCCGGGACTCGAACCGTGATCGACTACATGGGAGTTCAGCGACATAGCCATTATGCTAACTGCTGGTCCCTTTAATTCCTTTCTTAATAATGTGACTTCCCACCTCTTCTTGAAAAATTTTCAATACCTGACAGAAAACAATCACCTTTTTTCCTTAAGCCTTCCAGATGCATACTTCAATCACTGCATTTCTCATTTCATGTAATCATCATATATAAATATCTATCTTTGCAGAGAGACTATGAGAACATGTCAATATCCTTTTATATCATAAACACTCAGCCTAATGTCTAGGACACAAAATGAACTCTTTAAATGTTTGCTTAACGAATGGTAAAATGAAAGAGTTAAAGATGCTCATATATTATATATTTGCTGACTCACTACTTAAGAGCACTGTTCATCACTGACGTAAGAAAATGTTGAACCTTGGGACTAGCAGTTGGCTAATGGCTACATCGCTGGACTCCCATGTAGTCAACAGCAGTTCAAGCCTCAGACCCGGTGGCTTAAACTCACACAGGGCACGCGCACACACGCATGCGCGCGCCCAAGATCCCGAGAGGAAAATGGAGGAGAAGAGATTGCGGCGTGGCCATCCTCCCGGGGGGTGATTTCTTGCTTTTCGTCTGTCTGCCTCTGGCAAGCGCACACGTCCTATAGCAAAAACCTCTCCAAAAAAAAAAAAAAGAGGAAAAAGTGAAACTATCTCTTTTGATATGATAATATACCTAGAAGTAAGAAAAACAATAAAATAATCCAGTAAGGCAAGATATTAAATTGGCATAAAATCAACAGCCTTCATATATACAACCCATAATTATATGATATAATGCAAGACAAAAATCACATAATAAAATAAAATACACTGGAATGAACTGTGAACTCAATGAGAAATACAAAAAAAAAAAGAAAACATCTAAAATACTCTGAAAAAGCACAAAGATATCAACTCTCCCCAAATTAATCTACAAATTTAACAATCCAATAAAACCAAGTCATGGAAGATATTAAAAAAACTTTTTCTTTTGAGAGAGATATTTTTGGTATATGATGTATGTGTTCTCCAGAGAGACAGAAAGCAAGAAATCACCCCCCAAGGGGGAATGGTCACACCACAATCACTTCTCCTGTCTCTTCTCAGGATTTTGGGCACACACACACATGTACCCAGTGTGCGTTTTAAGCTGCTGGGTTGGGACTGGAACCACAGTCAACTACATGGGAGTCCAGCAACTTAACCATTACACCGTCTGCTGATCCCAGTATGAAGAAATCTTAAATACATATTAATTGCTAAATTAATGAATTAGGTCTAAAAAGGCTAGAATCTGTATGATTCCAACTACCTGACATTCTGGAAAAGGCAAAAAGATACAGTCAAAAGATCAGTAGCTGCAAAGGACTAGCAGGAAGGAGGTGACAGGCAGAGCACAGAGGATTGCTCCAGCAGCGTGCTATCCAGTTGATAGTGTGATGGTGAGTATCTGTCTACACATTTACCAAAACTCACAGACTGGAGACAGCAGGGGCACATGGATTAAGGCACTGGACTCTCATTGGGTGACTGCAGATTCAAGTTCCAAACCCGGCAGCTTGAAAATCATGCCAGATATGTGTGCACACGTGCCCAAAATCCGGAGAGAAATCCAGAGGAGAAGGGACTGCACCATAGCTCTCCCCTACACAGGAGTGATTTCTCACTTTCTCTCTCTCACGCACACACATGGGCCCTATGGCAAAATCGTAAGGAAAAAACCGACAGACTGTACAACACAGTGAACTGTAATGCAGATGATGGACGTCAGTAAGAACACGTCAACACCGGCTCATCAACTGCAGGTGGGCCACGGGAACGCAAGGTGTTTAAACAGAAGAAAAAAGGGGGGACTTGAAGAGGTATGCAGAAACACTAGATACCTTCCACTGATTTTGGTCTAAAAACTGTTCTAAAAACACAATCTATTCATTTTCTTAATACTATAAAGTATGTGGCTGGCACAACTGGATGTCTCTAACGATAGACTTTATAATAAATATTATTGTACCAAATTAAACTTTATTGAGTATAATTACAGTAATACAGTTATGTAGGAAAACCTGATTACTTCAGTACATACAGTGGTTAGGGAATCAATTTATGAGGAAGTCTTCAAAAAGGTCATAGAGAATGCATATTATGAAAAAACCAAATAGATTGCAAAAATCTGGGACACCAAAATAAATTCAGTTTAAGTCCGTTATTCCATGAACCTTTTAAAGTCCTCTATATGTCCAAATTTCTTCAAAAACAATGAAAAATAACCAAAAGTATGTAAAATATTTTAAAAAACGAATTAAACTGTAAGCAATTAATAAATATAGGTTAAAGATGAATGAGTGTTACAAAGTATAACAACTTTTTTTTTTAAAGAGATTTTTGCTATAGGACGTGTGTGCAAACCAGACAGACAGAAAGCGAGAAACTGCCCCCCCAGGGGGGATGGCCAGACGGCAATCTCTTCTCATCCATTCTCCTATTGGGATTTTGGGCAGACCGCACACGTGCTTGGTGTGAATTTTAAGCCATCAGGTCCAGGACTTAAATTATGGTCAACTATGTGGAAGTTTAGCAAGGTAACAATTACACCATCTGCCCATCCCCAGTGTAACAACTTTCATGAGGTTTGATTTTTTCCAAAAGAAAAACCTTAGAAAAATTTCTATGCAGACACCAATTGTCACTATTCCCATTAAAAATAAATGAACAATCCATAGTTATAAGGAGGAAATAATTAGAGTAAAATATGCTCCAAAGGTTATTTCTGCTAAGTAGCAGTACTTACCCAAGCACAGTGCCTGTCTCCTGGTAATTTACTTGAATAAACTTGCCAAAACGGCTTGAATTGTTATTATGTGCTGTTTTTGCATTTCCGAAGGCCTAGCAAAATAAAAAATTCTCATTAGTTTAATTGAAAAAAATATATATTTGTAAGTCACTAATCAATTTATGAGGAAGTCTTCAAAAAGGTCATAGAGAATGCATATTATGAAAAAACCAAATAGATTGCAAAAATCTGGGACACCAAAATAAATTCAGTTTAAGTCCGTTATTCCATGAACCTTTTAAAGTCCTCTATATGTCCAAATTTCTTCAAAAACAATGAAAAATAACCAAAAGTATGTAAAATATTTTAAAAAACGAATTAAACTGTAAGCAATTAATAAATATAGGTTAAAGATGAATGAGTGTTACAAAGTATAACAACTTTTTTTTTTAAAGAGATTTTTGCTATAGGACGTGTGTGCAAACCAGACAGACAGAAAGCGAGAAACTGCCCCCCCAGGGGGGATGGCCAGACGGCAATCTCTTCTCATCCATTCTCCTATTGGGATTTTGGGCAGACCGCACACGTGCTTGGTGTGAATTTTAAGCCATCAGGTCCAGGACTTAAATTATGGTCAACTATGTGGAAGTTTAGCAAGGTAACAATTACACCATCTGCCCATCCCCAGTGTAACAACTTTCATGAGGTTTGATTTTTTCCAAAAGAAAAACCTTAGAAAAATTTCTATGCAGACACCAATTGTCACTATTCCCATTAAAAATAAATGAACAATCCATAGTTATAAGGAGGAAATAATTAGAGTAAAATATGCTCCAAAGGTTATTTCTGCTAAGTAGCAGTACTTACCCAAGCACAGTGCCTGTCTCCTGGTAATTTACTTGAATAAACTTGCCAAAACGGCTTGAATTGTTATTATGTGCTGTTTTTGCATTTCCGAAGGCCTAGCAAAATAAAAAATTCTCATTAGTTTAATTGAAAAAAATATATATTTGTAAGTCACTGCTAGGAGCAAGCTCAGAGAGACAAAATACTAAAGAGCAGAATTCACTTATACATTCAGATTCATGTTTACAGTTAACTGTAAGAAGATCAAGTAGACCTGACTTTACACCATTCAATACAATAAGCCTTAATGTAAAAATAAGATTAATGCTCAGTAAGGTTCAGATGTCTCTTTCGTACTCCAGAGCCAGCAAAATTTTTATATTTATATTTATGTTTTTAGAAGTTGCTAAACTGAAATAACAGGAAGCTAGGAATAAGACGACCAGCCCCACGGCACCATGGTCAGGTGTTACTGGAAAGAAGCCAGATCCAACATGGCAACTGGAGTTTAATCCCAGCTTGGAAGGTCTGAGAGCACGTTGGGCACACACGCGAGTGCCAGGATCCAACGGGCTAAAGGCTTTGAAGGAGCGATCACGGCACAGCCAGACACTGCGGAGGGCGTTCATACTTCTCACTCCTGCTCTCTCTCTCACATGTGCACATGTGTTCTATCATAAATCAAGAAGTAATAATAATAAAGAGCAAATTAAATATACTGTTAGGAAAAAATAAGTAAATAAAAATAATGATGGGGCCAGCAGGTGGCATGGTGGATGGCTGACCACAGTTCAAGTCCCGGAACTAGCGGCTTGCTTTCTCACTTTTCCTCTCTCTCCCTCTCCCTCTGTCTTTCTCTGGTCAAACAAATAATATTAAATGAAATTTTAAAAATAATTCTTTTAAAAAAATAATGATCAAAACTGAAATTAATAAAATAGAAAACAAGAAAAAAAAATGAAACCAAAAGCTGGTACTCTGGATAATAGGGGGACATAGATACCTTTGTACCAATAACTCCGGCGATAGGAGATGCAATTTACAAAGCACATTCAAGAAAACAGGTCATATGAATGCTTTTACCTTAAAAATTGAAAATTTTTCTAAAACTTTCCAACAAAGAAAAAAGGTTCAGAGAGCTTCATTAGTACATTCGAACACTGATAGAAAAAATACCAGTCCTACACAAACTCTTTCAAAAACATGAAGAAGGAAGACTTCCAAAATCATTTTATGAGATCAAAATTATTCTTTTTTTTTTTTTTGAGAGGTTTTTGCTATAGGGCGTGCGTGCGCCAGAAAGAGAGACAGAGACAGAAAGTGAGAAATCACCCCACTCCTGGGGAGGATGGCCACGCTGCAATCCCTTCTCCTCCATTCTCCTCTCGGGATCTTGGGCACGCACGCACACGTGCCCGGTGTGAATTTAAGCCACTGGGTCTGGGACTTGAATCGCAGTCGACTACGTGGGAGTCCAGCGACATAGCCATTACGCCAACTGCTAGCCCCTGAGATCAAAATTATTTTCATTACCAAAAAAGCTATTAAAGAAAACAATACTTGTCACAACAGATGCAAAAATTCTGAACAAAACCTATCTAGCAAAGGACAGTGCGTAAATAAAATAAAAATGAGGCTTATCCCAGGAATTGAATCTGGTTTAACATTCAAAACGCGCCCAGCCAGTGGCCGGGTAGTTAGTGCAGCTAACGCAGCTAGATCCCATGTGGCCAGTTTGAGTTCGGGGTCCAGCGGCTTAGGAGAGACACTGGGTGCACATGCACAAGTGCCAAAATCTCAGAGGAAAGTGGAGGAAGGACCGTGACACCGTGTTCCCACTAGAAATGCTTTCTCAATTTCTCTTTCTTTCTCTCCCTCTCTGTCTCTTAAGTGAGTGCACATACCCTAAAGCAAAATTACAAAAACAAAAATCCATCAATGTAGTTCACCACATGAACAAAGTATTTATACACACACACACACACACACATATGCACACATATATGTAGAAACATTTATGTAAACATCTGAACATAGACAAAATCCCTATCTATTTCTGATTAAAAAAAAAACAACTCTAAGCAAACAAAGACTAGAAGGGACTAGCCTTAATTTGATACAGAGCATCTACAAAAAACCAACAGCTATCATTATAGTAAGAGGTTAAAGACCGTGGGCCAGCAGATAGTGTGGTTAAGGTGCTGGACTCCCACGTGGCCGACTGCAGGTCCCAGAAAGGAAGGGAGGAAAGAAGGCAGGCAGGTGAAAGACTGAACGCTCTCCCCCAAGGTCAGAAACAAGACAAGCATGCTGTCCGTGACTTCTACTCAACATTTTACTGACAGCCTGGTGTCCTGTTCTGGGCTTCCCTGTACACACCAGGCATGAGTGTGTCTGCCCAGGACGGCTGGGGACGGGTGAATCACAGTACAGGGACCCAGGTGGGAGTGCCCGTCCTTCTCTCACAGAAAAATAATATATAAACTTTAGGTGGAAAACAGGCAATGAAAACTGGTATTTGAGTGAAGCTGCAGAATACAAGTTCAGTATGTGACTATCAGTATATTTCTCCGTACCAACAACAAACAACAAAATTTGAGAATATCATTCATGACAGCACCTCAAGAAAATGCCGAGATTAATCTTACCAAGTAAGTGGAAGAGCTACACTGAAAACTATAAAATAATGCTCAGAGAAATTAAAGACCTTAGTCCATATAGAAATAAATTTGTTGGTGGTTCAGACAACTTAATAATGTTTCCATGTCAACTCTCTCCAAATTGAACTACACAGTTCTAATCAATGTTCCAGGAGGCTTTTATGAGGAAATAGATAAACTAGTTCTAAAATTCTCACAGAAATACAAAGAACCTAAAATATCCACTACAACTCTGAAAAAAAGAACACAAAGTTACAGGGTTAATATTACCTAAGTTAAAAAAATTATTATAAAGCTACATAACACAAACTGTGACACTGTCATAAAGACAAATAGATCAGAAATAAACTCACATATAGGAGAATCTTCAAAAGCTGATGGAATATAAACTATGGAAAAACAATGTGTGGATTTCAAAAGTATTCTGCACTTTAGGGCCGGTAGGTGGCATGGTGGTTAAGGGCACTGGACTCCCACATGGTCGACTGCGATTTGAGCCCCAAACCTGGAGGCTTGCTTTCTCACTTTCCCTCTCTCTCGCTCTCTCTCTCTGTCCCTCTCTGGTCAAATTAAAAATAAATAAATAAATAAAGTTAAATAAAATCATTCTTAAAACAAGTATTTTGCACAAAAATACATTTGTACTTTTTAGTTTTCTGTTTTTGTTTTGTTGCTAGAGGGCACATACACTTGCCAGAGAGAAGGAAGGGTGTGAGTACCCCAAATGGGGCAAGGTCATGCCACAATCCTTTTTTCTCCTTCCTTTCGGGATTGTGGGCACAACATACATGAATACTCACCTGGCATGTTTTCAAGCCACGGGGGCTTGAATTCCTATCATAGTGAGCCATGTGAGATGTGGGCCCCTTAACCAGTAGGCTATAAGGAATAAATTCATCCTTTAATTCTATTTTCCACAAACTTTTAAAGTCACCTGATATACATAGACAAATTATCTTTTGACAGACACAAAGGCAATAAGGTAAAGAAAGAATATAGCCTTTCAAGAAAAAATGCTGAAACGAGTAGGTATCCACAGACAGACATTGGGTCCGTATCTTACATTATATACAAAGTTGAACTTGAAATGTATCACAGACCTACTACAAAACCTAAAACTATAAACGACCATCAAAAAAATATAGGAGGGGGGAACCAGCAGTTAGCGTAATGGCTATGTCGCTGGACTCCCACGTAGTCGACCGCGGTTTGAGTCCCAGACCCAGTGGCTTAAACTCATGCTGGGCGCATCTGTGTGCGCGCCCAAGATCCCGAGAGGAGAATGGAGGAGAAGGGATTGCGGCGTGGCCATCCCCCCTGGGGGGTGATTTCCTGCTTTCTGTCTCTCTGTCTATCTGGTAAGCGCACACGCCCTACAGCAAAAACCTCTCCAAAAAAAAATAGGAGAATGTCTCTGTGATCGTAAGTTAAGCAAGGTTTTTTTAAAAATGTAATACCAAAAGCACAATTCATTAAAAAAAACTAAATTGAATTACATAAAAATTTAAAATTCTACTCTTCAAAAGGTACTGTTGGCCCAGCCACTGTGATGCAGTGCAATCCCAGAGCCATATGGGGAGGCCCAGGATTCAGATCCCAGGTCAACCTAAACATACCAGAATACTTTCCAATCCTGGCTGGCTAGAAGGCTCAGAGGGAGGATCTCAGTGAGACAAGACCCTGCCAGAGGTCCCCGTCCCTTTCTCTTTCTCCTCCTCCCTTTCTCTTTCTCTCTCGCTTTCCTCCCTCATGAAGTAAATAAGTAAATAATCTTTTTTAAAGTTCTGTTAAGAGAGGGATAAATCTCAGAAATAATGTGTGCAAAACATCTGAGGTCAGCCTATGCCATGGCGGTTAAAGCAGATGTATCCCACATGGCCAACTGCATGGCTGGAGTCCTGGACCTGGGGGATTGAGAAACCCTCTAGACACAAACGCATATATGCCCAAATCCCAAAGTGAGGGAAAAATAGAAGAAAAGGGATTGTGGCATGACCATTCCCCAAGGGGGTGCTTTCTCACTGCCCACCCCCAAGTCCACTCTTAGCAGTAAATGCACGTGCCCTCTAGAAAATTAAACATATATATGTGTACATACGTGTGTGTGATTTTGCATCACATCAAAGGGTTATGTATCCAACATACACAAAGTATTCTCAAAACTGAACAAGAAAACCACCCAATAAAAAAAAATCTAGGCAGTAGATTTTGACAGACACTTCATCAGAGAAGATACATGGAGGGCAGGTAAGCATCAGTCATTGCAGAATGCAAATTAAAATCACAATGAGATACCATGACACACACATGAGAATGGCTAAAATAAAAACAAACGGCTCTACCGAGAGCATGGGGTAAAGGAACTGCGCCGCCCTGCTGGTGAGAATACAAATGGTACTTGTGATCTCTGGGAAAGTGTGCTGCCACATGACCTAGTCATTGCACTCCTAGTGTTCACTGAAGAGAAAGGAAAGAGTATACCACAAAGACTTGTATGCAGCTTTATGTGCACATAATTACCCAGAACCTAGAAACAACTCCTACACCCATCATCAAGTGAAAGGATTAACACACTGGAATACAACTACTTTGCAAATAAAAAGGAATGAACTGACATGTGAGACACAGATAAATCTCAAACTAATTATAACAAGTGAGAGAAGTCGTATGTGAAAGGGTGTGTACTATACGGTTCCACAGAGATGTATGGTTGTTTTTGGATTTTTTTTTGTGTGTGCGTGCGTGTGTGTGTGTGTGTGTGTGTGTGTGTAGGAGAGAGGGAGACAGAGGGGGTACAAAGAAAGGAGAGCTGGAGTTTTTTACAGGGTGTCACTGTGCCACTACCCTCCTGACCCAGTCTCCCAATTAGCTTGGATCAAAGACAGACACAACTATGCCACGTCTTCCAGCCAGGCCAGAACCAAACCCAGGTGTGCCGTGTGGTCTCCCCTGGGCTACTGCAGCTGGGCCTCCACAGACGTGAAACCACAGTGACAGGAAGTGCCTAGCTGGTCTCTTGCAGATGAGAGGGCTGGGCAGCGTGTGAAGGGTTACACACAGGTATGAGGAAACTTGCAGAGAACCTTGGCTGTCGCGATGGTTTCATGGTATGTACATGCGTCAACATTTATCACACTGTTTTTAAATATGTGCATTTTGCTGCATCTCAATTACACCTCACAAAATCTCTTTTCAAAAAACAAGACAAACATTTCCTTTCAAACCTAAAATAAAAACTGCATCTTCTAAACTGACAAGTAAAAACTGTATATATTGGGTTAGTAGTGGTGTGGTGGTTAAAGCGTCTGGATTCCACACGGTGGACCGCACGGTTGAGTCCCAAACCTGATGACTTGAGAAACGTGCTAGGTGCACGAGCATGCATTCCCAAAATCCTGACAGGGGAATGAAGGGGCGGTGACTTGTCGCTTTTTCTTTCTCTCTCTCTCTGGTAAGTGCACAAGCCCTATAGCAAATCTTTGAAAAAGTGTATCTATTTACGGCGTACATGTTTTAGCCACTGTAGAACGGCTAAATCAAACTATCTAACCTACGTGTTACATCATATTCTTATTCTCTGCATGTGATGAGAACACAGAGTCTACTCTCAGAAACTCCCAAGTACACAGTACACTGTTGTTCACTATAGTACCCAGGATGTACAGTAGAACTCTTGAGTTCTGTCTCCTGCCTAACTGAAAATGGCGTGTCCTTTGATCACCATCCTTTAAATCCTCCTAACCCTCAGCCTTTGGGATTACGCTTTTTCAGATTACACATATGAGATCAGACAATATTTATCTTTCTGTATTTTTTTCCCTTTTGGCATTTTGATATTATTACTTTTTTTAATTTAAGAATTATTTTATTTAACTTCATTATTTATTTATTTATTTTCATTTGACCAGAGAGAGAAAGTGAAAAAGCAAGCCGCCAGGTCTAGGACTCAAACCACGGTCAGCCATGAGGGAGTCCAGCACCCTCAACCCTCCACGCCACCAGCTGGCTCCTATTACTATGTTTTGTTTTTTGAAAGCTTTTTGCTATAGGGCGCATGCATTCGCCAGAAAGAGACAGAAAGTGAGACATCACCCCTGAGAAGCGCTGGCTACACCGCAATCCCTTCTCCATTCTCCTCTCAGGATCTTGGGCATGTACCCACATGTGCCCGGTGTGAGTCCAAGCCACTGGGTCCGGGACTCACAGTCGAATACATGGGAGGACCGAAACATTACACCAACTGCTGGTACCCCATTACTGCATTTTAAAATTTTTTTAAATGCTATTTAATTTATTATTATATTTTGGTTTTCTATAAGTGCACTCGCCAGAGAGCAAGAGACAGTCAGAGAGAGAGAAAGCAAGAATACAAGCTGCTAGATCCAGGGCTCGAACTGTGGTCAGCCCTGTAGGAGTCCAGTGCCTTAACCACCACACCACCTTCTGGCCCCACAGTATTATCTCTAAGACATTCTATGGCTATACCCTTTTTCTCATATTCTCCACACTTTTGAAAACAAGTGGGTCTTTAAGTTGCAAAGCCACACATAGACACATAGAAGGCTGTAGAGAAACAAATATACCAGCAAGACTATCTCCCCGACCACCTACCTTCACAACCCAGTTAGACAGGGCTCCTGACCCTACTATCTCCCTTTATAGGTGGATACATACTACTCCTGTCATATCTTTGTTTCTATCACTAATGACTCAAAGACACTCTTTAAGAAAGAGAGAGCAAGGACCAGCAGATGGCATAATGGTTACATTACTGGACTCCCATGTAGTTGACTGTGGTTTGAGCCCCAGATCCGGCAGGTTAAAACTCATGCCAGGCACGTGTGTGTGCATATGCCCAAAATCCCAAGAGAAGAATGGAGAAGGAACTGTGGTGTGACCATCCTGCCTGGAAGGTGATTTATTGCTTTCTACCTCTGTCAGTCCAGTGACTGCATGTGCCGTCGCAAAAATCTCTCGTAAAAAAAAAATGAAAGTGTGAGCGCTACGCCACACCCGTCTGTCTTTCACACTGCCTCTTTTGCTCTCCCATCTTCCAGCTTCCCTCGCTACCAAAACATTGTGTCTGTACTTCTACTTAGTTTTATTTCATCTTCTCACACGTACCCAGCATTTTTCCTAAAACGTGCTTGACAGAAAGAAGCGTGTTTCCCCACACATACCTCAAGCACTGGCCCCGCTCCAAGAATAATCTGCTCCACTCCACTGGCAAAGCCTTTCTGACTGAGTGCAGTGAGGTGGTGAATGAGGAAGTTTGTGCTCTGAGTCTTCCCAGAGCCGCTCTCGCCCGAGATCACGATGCACTGGTTCTTCCTGCGCTGAAGCATGGCATGGTAGGCCGCGTCGGCCACCGCGTAAATATGGGGCTCGAGCTTTCCCAGCTGGTGGTTGTCGTACATCTTGACGTATTTGGGGTTGTAAATGGGAAGAAACTTGAAGGGGTTAATCACTATCAGAATGCTGCCCACGTAGGTATAGATCTTTTCCTGCTTGAAGCGATTCCGTAGGTTTTCTAGTAGCGTTTTCTCGTTCAGGTCGGGTAAGCTGCAGAGATCGTCAAACTCCTTGTGCTGCGGCTGTGGGAGAAAGCCCCGCTCCACCATCCTGACGCGCTCTTTCGCTACCCGC